CAGACATTGTGAAGAAGGGGCTCTTTTTCCTTGCATTTCGGGGATCATGGGCATTCAACATAGTTCTCGGAAAAGTTCTCTTGGGTATTTTTGGAACTAAAAAGGATGAATATAATTTATAATTTTGTTAGAAGAAAAAAAATATTATCTCAGAAATCATTTTCAGTTTTCCAGGAAGCAGGACCGACAGTGGTTTGCTGTGCCCGCTCCCCGCACCGTTACCCGAGCGTGCGCTTCCCCCACCCGGTGCTGGAGTGGAGACTTAGCCCAGATGAAGGTCCCTGGTCCCCAGCCTCCTGCTTAGACCGAATGAGCAAGAGACTCCAGGGGCAGCCCCTTCCAAGGATACTGTTGCTTTTGGGAAGCTCACGTCTAACGGGAAAGGAAACTGGAGAGACATCTTGGTTTCCTCTGAGGGTGATGTGGCGTGTCGAGAACTGAGACCCTGTTGTTTTGCAGACAGTCACTGGTTCATTTGGTCCACTCATTCAACAGGCATTTTTTAGTACCTAACCTATCATGTGCAGGTGATGACATATTGTACTAGGTTGAACCATATGAAATTGCTGTTTTCATAGGTAAGAATTGGCAATTTCATATGGCTAAACCTACCATTTAGAAGGTTTTCCTAAGCTAGTGTTACTAAGTTTTTCTTCTGATGGTATCAAAGGCAGCATAGAGATAACCCAGTTACCACCATCTGCAGTGGGAGTCTGGGTCTGCCCGGGTTCCCTTCCAGAAACAGGGCAGACACTGGTTTCCACCACACACATAATAGTGTCGTATTTCGTAACTTTACGAAGACCCGAGTCATTGCTTTAGACCAGCTTCTTCCAGAAGCCCTTTTATCTGGGGCTTGGGGAGCCCAACCACCAGGGTTCCTCAAGTCTCCAGGCTCTGCTTTGCAATGTGGAGAGAGACGGCTGACCCAAGGCGAGAGATTCCTGAGCGCACAATGACGACCATCTCGTTTGGACTCTTCTCGTCTAATGCCACGGAGCAAAACCGTCCAAAGTGCAGTTGCAAATATATTTGCACAGACCAATATGAAATTAAATGATTTAATGACCAGTTAACAAATAGCTAACAAACGAACCAAACCTGACACCTTTACTCTCTGGGGCCAAAGGAGATACCTAGCTAATACCTTTGCTAATTGATTAGGAGATGCTTTCTCTCCCTTTCGCTCAAATTTTTGCTAACCAGATTCTCTAAGAATATGACTAAAGCAGTTTAATCTAATACCAAAGTGCAGAGAGTATGGGGGATAATCAAGAATAAGAAGCTTTTTGAGTCCGGGCATGGTGGCTCACGCCTGTAATCCTAGCACTCTGGGAGGCAAAGGCGGGAGAATCGCTTGAGACCAGGAGTTCAAGACCAGCCTGAGCAAGAGCGAGACCCTATCTCCACAAAAAACAGAAAAATTAGCCGGGCATGGTGGTGTGCGCCTATAGTCCCAGCTCGTCAGGAGGCTGAGGCAGGACAATCACTTGAGCCCAGGAGTTGGAGGTTGCAGTGAGCTGTGATGATTCCACTGCACTCCAGCCAGGGCAACAGAGTGAGACTCTGTCTTAAAACAAAACAAAACAAAAAAGATTTTGAAATAAAAAAACCAAGGTTCTGGGGTACTTTTTAATGCTGCAGTTATATGATATGAGCTTATTACGTGATTAAATTTACTCAACAGCAGTTGCCAGAGCAACTTTATTGGTTATGAGCAATCAGGTGAACATTAACCACAGTGGCCGGGGGGCGAGACCAGGATTTCTCAACCTCAGCTCTGGTGACATCTGGGCCAGATCACTCTTTGTTGCGGGGGCTGTCCTGTGTGTTGTGGGATGTGGAGCAGCACCCCCTCTTTCCTGGGAACAACCTGCGTCAGTTTCACAAACCCAGAAGAAAGGCTAGGGAGTGACCCAGAGAGATACTCGAGAGTGAGTTATGCAGAGTATTGTAGTATTACCCACCTTGTCAACTGTATTCCTTCCAGCCCAAGCCTAGACTGGAGAAGAAAGTCTGGCTTATACAGGTGAAGGGGTCTGGGGGAGCGGGGGGCTTGCTGACTCGAACGTAGCGACACAAGGAGGTGGGCGGGCTGACAGTGGGAAGGATCTCCTCTCTGCCTACCTCTGGGCCTTTGCACGCCCAACATCTCTGTCTACAGCAGCCATTTCTCTTCCCCGCTTCAATTGGCTCTTCCTTACCCTTCAGGTCTCAGCTTAAATATCACTTCCTCCTGGAAGGTTCTCCAATTCTTTCCCTGAAGTCAATATCCCACCGCCCCCCGCCTGGAGGGCGATGTACAGCCTGCTCAGAGGTGCCTTACATGCATACTTTGAGCACAGAACTTAGCACTTCATCACACACACATACCATACCTACTTATATGGACTGCAGGAGTTTGGTTTTCTGCTTGTTCCTTCCATTAAAATATAAACTCCATGAGGACAGGAACCCTGGACTAAGTACCATGGTCTAGCTAGAAGCCAGCAGGGACCCCAACATGCGGTAGATGTCTTCCTAAAGACATCTGAATTCATGAAGGAAATAGCTTGTCAACTGAATGGCAGGGGCAGGGCCTACTAAGTGAAGTTCCTGCGGATGGAATCAAGCCTGTGGTCATCGTAGCAAACAGCTGCACCTATGTGTACGCTGGGTAATTTCTGCAAAGGGAACCAGACTGCAGTGTGCCAGGCAGAAGCCAATCCTGAAGAACAATATGGAAGATGTGCCAAGTTTCTGTCTTTAGCCACATATTTTTGGGGTGTTCATCAGCCCCCTTATGATGATACAACTTTTGGACCAATGTTTTGTACCCTGAGCCAAATCACACACTTTCAATGTGTCAACAACATATAGCAAAAGCCCAATGAGACCGTTAACTGCTAAACTGGGTGGTAGAGTTCTAGGTTTCAAAACGGTATTATAAGGAGCAATGGTTTCCATATTGGTCAGGGAGCGGGGAAGCAAGGGGAGAGGAGGGCCGTTCAAGGAAGACTCGGTGAGACTCTGATGAGGTCTGTATCTCAAAGAGCACATGTCACAATCGCCACGCGGGCAGCAGGCCACCTGCTGACATCTAGTCTGGTTCCCCAACACCACTGCCAGGTTCCAACATCAAGAACACAGAGACACTTCCATCTAACTTTTATATGAAGAATTTAATTATCTATACACGTAACTAATTCGAAAGGTTGTATTACAGTTGTTAAAGCCGCAGGTTTATATATTTATATATTTTACATTCATATCCAGGAAAATACTGAAGCGCAACCGAACGGGGAGGAGCAGTCCCCGCTCTCTGCACCATGTGAATGGAAAAGGACCCCTCGCGACGCCAGCACAGTCTCCCGAGGGGACGGGGAACGGGAGGGGAGTACACATTACAAAGTCATTAGTAGGACAGCTAGATTGTGCTTGGGGCTCCCCCACCCCATTTTCTGTGCTGTCAGCAGCGGGCATTTTTATTGAGAGCTTCCAACTCGGGTTTAAAAGACAAACAGGGCTTCGGCTACAGCACATCTAACACATAAACGGACCATGAGCTTCATTTCATATTAATCTGTAGAAATTCCACAGTCTAGTTAAAAAATGTAAACATTGGAAATTAATTGCAGGGAGATTTCTATACATTCTTTCTTGTCAAGAAAATTACTTGTTCAAAATATGTCATTCCATGAAAAGCAATTGGAAGAAAACGTCATGTAACAAGACTAAAAAGAGATTGTAGGTTTTGTGGATGGTAACAACCTCAGTGGTGTTGTCTGCTGATTTTATGGTATGAAAACACGCGAAATTAAAAACCCAAAACAAAACACCAACTCAACCAGATAAATCTGAGACCAAACAAAAACACAGAGTGCTGTCTCATGTGGCTACAAGGTCACTGTGCAAAATAAAATTAATGCAATATGATTAGAGCATCATACAAGGTAATAGCTTTTGCCATGGAAAGAACTAATTTCTTATGTACAGGATGTATTACATGCTCAACAAGGTACATCTGATACAAACAAGCACAAAACACCTTCTGTTTAATTGGGCTCATTCTACACGTTTTTAAAACAAATATTCTAAACTCCTCTGAAATTCTATAGTGGGGGAAAACCCCAAACTACACAATTTAGTTGGTAACACTGGACAAAATGAAAAAATACATCAAGTCTCAGATTTATGGACATTTGGAACAATTTTTAATAGCACATGCAGCATTCCTTGATAGTGGGTCTTTTTGCAAAACCAAGATAGCAAAGAAGTAATTTATTTATTTTGTGTATTAAAAGGCTAAAATATATATTTAAAAATAATTTTAAAACTATTGAAAGCACCTGTGCAAAGGTGGGGGGAAGTCAATTTGAGTAACTAGGAAAGCCACAAAAGGACCCACTACCCTGTGTAATTTTGTAATTTTTGCTCCTATCTCTGCAAGTAATAACTCAAACATTGCGATCACATGCAACTAAAGTAAAATGAGGTAAACTGCTCTGCAGTGAGTTCTTCTACTCAGAAGGCAGTAGGTGATCATGCTGGAAGTCACATGATCAAGGCTGCATCTCCCATCATCCCTCTGGGCAGTGATATGGGATAGTGGGTCTCTTTGAGGACTTTCAAGCCTGAGGGGGGGATGGACAACATATGATTCCTAGAAAAAGGAGGAAAACAACACATAAGCAAAACAAAACAATGAGCAAAATTCAAGCTAGGAAAATGAGTCAGGCATGTAAACAGCATGGTGCCAAAATGATTTAAAAAAAAAAAAAAAAAGGAAAAAGGGGGAAGGGTAGGGAGGGGACATGCTACAGAAGGAATGAAAATTAAAAAAAAAAAAACCCACGAGATAAAGTCTTGCATTACAGAAGGTCTTCAAAGAGACTGTTGCAAATGCAGCAATGGTCTAGCTTTAAGTTCTGCAAACAAAGCTCAGCAGAATCAGAGCAATGCTGCATGTTTTACCGGAAGATACCAGAGAGGCAAGGCAACAGAGCCGCCAGGGCACTTACATTGCTGGCTTGGGTCCATGTCTGTGGTCAGCTTCACGTAATTGGACGGGAAGAGCCCCACTTGGCCGTTGACTTCTCCTTTCCACCAGTCAGGGTCTTCCTTGTTGAGGACGTTGATGATCTGGCCCTTGTTGAAGGCCAGCTCGTCGTCATTTTGCGCGGTGTAATCGTACATCCCGATCACCTGGCACACTGCAGGAGACAGGGCTGGTGAGCAGCTGCACGCCTGCCGCGGCACGCGCGATGCCGCGATGTTTTCAAGTATCATTTCTGGCCTTTCAGAAGAGGCGGAAATTAAGTGGAAGTGCGCTCATGGGCTTTTTACAATGTGGGCAGTAGAGGAAGATGAAGAATTAAAAACCAAGACAACAGCAAAATTTTCACACTACGTCTTTGGTTTCTATAATATCTTCCTCTTTCTCATGTTTACTAGTCAGCAGAAAATTTACAGTGCGAACTGAACGCCTTCATTTCAAGTCCGTGCAACTCATTTATAATGCTGACGCAGGAAGACTGGCCCCCACCCCAGGACAGCTGCACAGACTTTACTATAGTTTCTCTCTCTTTTTTTACGGTGGAAGGTAATTATCATCCCAAAATTCCAAACCTTAGTGAAAAGCAAAATCAGTGTTTTAAAAAAGATTATTCTGCCATATCCTCGTGTCTCAAAATTTTGCCTCAAAGAAAGCAATCTCCATATGCAAGAACAGTTTTTCTTCTCTCATTTTCTCTCAAGCCTACAGGACGTAAAATTGTTCTCCTTCCTTGGCATTCCTACTTCACATAAGTCTGTGCAGTCAGGTCATAGTTCCCGATTAATGTTTCTTAACCAACCTACATATATATAGGTTTATGCTTTTCAGATCCTCCAGCTAATTCAATCACTTCGGCAAATGACGTCAGTGGGTTTCAGCCAACCCAATGAGGGGTCTGCACACTAGGTGGGGTGGATGCCACCAGGGCTCCCCAGGGAGAGCAGATCCAGCTGGCACCACAGCCCTCTGCCTACACGAGGCTACAGGCTCAAGCAAAGAGGCCCAGCTGGGGTCAGCATTCCTCACAACAGTGGCCAATCCTTTAACTTCTTGCAAAGGCTGCCAAGTTTTAATCTTATTTCACTGGAGACATAAAGCATAGACATTTAACCACAAGGTATCAGAGCAAAAATTCCACACTTTCCACAAATGCCACCCAAGAATTGGTGGCTTAAAGACCTACAGCAGAAATCTGCTCCTCTAACCTCACCCTTCCCAGATATTACCAAAGCATCTAATTTAGTCCCTTCAATCAGAAAATAGCCAACGGGGTCAACTGCAGTGCTCTGGTCTTTCTCAGTCCCTAGGAAAGTGTGGACAACATCCTGCCCGTTCAGCGAAGCCCCCTCTGCTCACAGGGAGTTATTTTAGTCTTCAGTGAACACCACATTACAGCCAACAGACCCCCGTGGCCTCCAGCTCCGCCTCCTAACCTCGTAAGACCCCAGCCATTTATTTTTAGGTGTCCCTTTCTGTGGTCTCCCCCGCCCCATCCAAATCCCAACTTAAATAGCTGGAAGGAAATCAAGACAAAAATCTGGCTTCAATGCCACGGCATTCATGACTCTGTAGGACGAGCGTTCCAACAAGGGCTCTGTTGTACCCAGCACAGTAAAGCTACTTAGATATTTGGTCCTTTTGAAAAACATATTCCATATCACATTACTTGGGTGTCAGTCCCAGCAAGGACAAGAAGTGCTTACAGCACATCTGAAAAAATCCGAGATATTTAATGAGAAAGTTGAGTGGAAAAACTCAAGTGCCATGCAGACCAGGTGCCAATTAGAGCCTGCAAAGTCCTTACCTGCCGGTAAAGCCGCTGCCTTTGGTGGCTCTGTTGGAGTGATTTTGCTCGTCCCGGGGCTTAGAAGTTTTACATAATTAGCTGGGAACCAGCCTATCTGGCGCTTTTTCCCACGTGCCTGATAAGAAAAGAATTATATCAAAAAATTTTAAAAGGTTCATGTTCTCTTATAATAGTTTGCTTTGTAACAGAGCACTTATGCAAAGTTTACATATAACTGAAAGACAAATGGTATTAACAGTAGAATCTATGGATTACTATGTATGTCACAAAAACAAAATACTGTACCTAAAATTCAGATTGTGGCAGTCATTGGTCATCAAAGCCTGGAATATTTTTGCACGGGCTAGATTGGGTGGATCGCAAATTCAGGATATACTGCAGTGTGTCTAGGATAGGAAATTCTGCTCGTAACATTGGTATTCAGCTGCTAATTTCAGGTAATGTAGAGGTTATGGTTAATGCCAACATTTTATGTGGGTTTTAGGAATAATAATAATAATCATCATAGCTGTCAACACTGAGTGCTTTTTATGAGCCAGGCCCTGTGCATATATCCACACAACGATTTCAGAAGGATAACACTATTACTATTCTCTATTTCCAGATGAAAAAAGTAAGGCCTGGAAAAGTTGAGTGACAGTCCCAAGTCCACAGGCTCGTTAGTGGCAGGCTGAGATTCACTCAATTGTCTGTGCTGTTCTGTATGGGTCATATGCAACCTTGGATGCAAGGTAACATACATGCAGATACACAGAACACAGGGAGTCTCAACTTGATACTGTTTTCAAAAACTGTCAGGAGCACCCACGTGACGGCGACAACCACAGTTTTTACTGCCGTTCCCTTCTCCTTTACTTCAGTCTGACTCAACAGGAGATCCATCTATGGGGTGTTCGCCTGCTGAGTGCTGTTGGAAAGGGACAGCAGATGACAGGGAGGAACTGAGGAGAAGGTTGGTGAGCTGGGGCTTGCAGTCATGACACAATCCCATGAAGACTCAATGCAGGGCCCAGGAGAAGGGCTGTGTCTACCCTTCTGCACTCCGCCAGGAAGAGAGACTGCCAACACACGTGCACGAACATGGTACCACTCCCGTGCACTCACAGAATATGTTTGGAAACAAGTCTCTGATAAGAACAGTTGCCTATGGGGCAGAGGTGGGAGGGAGACACGTGTATTCCCTTTTGTAACTTTTGAACTTAGAACCATGTGAATATATTATGTATTCCAAAATAAGGAAATAAAACTCAAAGAAAACTTCCCCTGCCTCAGCCCTGCCCTGCCACCTGCCAGTCTATCAAGAGGGATCCCTCGGGGTCACTTGAGAACACAGATCAAGTGTCCTTTCCTCGTGGTCTGATAGACACGCCCTTGGCTCGAGGACTAAAGTTTTTTACATTTTTTTTAAATTTGTATATATTATTCACTTCAAAGGGCAGTCCAGAAGGACTGAAGCTTTGATGTTCACAGTGAACCTGCCCGTGGCTGAAGCCACTTGTTTACGAGTCTCCACCTCGCACACAGCCATCTGGCTCTCACGGCTCCGCTCGTCCCTCCGCGTCTGCAGCTGTACAGGACACGGTCATTGCCTCGTCCACACCGGGAGTCACAGTGGTGACAGCACCAGCAGCTAACCCGCATGGCAGCTCAGCCACTTTATTGCGAGTTCTGAGAACCATCCAAAACTCTCTTTTGAGCTGGGTGCTAGGTGCTCGAGGCCTGAAAACCATGGCTGCTGCCTTCAAGGATCAGCTACGGGAAATAAGAAATATGTGCGGAAGCAAAGCAATACGAAATACTAAAGAGTGACCATGGAGCTCAGGGGATGGGGACAGCACAACTCCACAGCACAACTGACCTGCAAGAGAGACCTGCAGGTCAAAGGGCAGGCACGTTAACAATAGGAAGTGGATTTCTAGGACTTGGCAGGTCAGATTCCTGAGCCAGGCAGGAGGTTACATCTGGCCACTTCTTCCCGACAGGGTTGTTTTTTTTTTTTTTTTTTTTTGAGACAGAGTCTCACTGTGTTGCCCGG